CAGAAAAGCCCATCCTCAGTCATACCTACACCCTCCAAAACCTCCCTGTTCCCTTTCCTGGTGGGGGACCACAGGGAATCATGGCGATTGCACACGGTTGGCCAGACCAGCTTGCAGCACCTTAAAAATGGTCTCTTTTCCCTTTATGTGTGCAGAGCAAACTCTCATTTATTGAGGCTTTCTCAGCGAGCTCCTCACCGTACAGATCTATAGGATATTAGTGCCTGTAAGGCACGGTTCTATAATGCACCAATTCCAGCTGTGGCCCTTGGGAAATACTCAGTCTTTAGATGATTTAAAAGCCAATTTTAATGGGATGTTTATTGCCTTTGTGCTACACAGGCAGCATAAACAGGTGCTACTTTAACTTCTCCATCAGCAGCTTCCTACAGTCCATCTGCACTGAGGGTGCAATAAAAACAAACTCTGTGGGGTCTATACCATTTTGTACTGAGCTCTGAATAGAATATAGAATAGAATAGAACAGACTATTTCAGCTGGAAGAGACCTACAGTGACCATCTAGTCCCACTGCCTGACCAATTGAGGGCTGACCAAAAGCTAAAGCATGTTATTAATGACACGATCCAAAATTACGTGGTGATAGGTAATAATATCCTGTAGATCTATACTATGCCTGTATGTTTAAATTTCCATCATCCAGATGCTGTGCAACACATCCCACATGCTGAAGCAGGGTGGAGGAGAGGCTCCACCACAAGTTTAGGTGCCCTCAACTCTTAAGAGACGTGTCCTTCTTACCTGGGATCTGGAGGCAGATGCAGAGATGGAGCCACGGCCGGGCCATGGTGGTGGAGTCAGTGATGGAGGGGTTTGTGCCAGCTCCCCTTCTCCACCCACGGTCACCTCCTGCTGGAAGGGATGGCTTCACCTCAGGAAGTTCTTCCCCGTCCCGGCACAGACGTCTCACCAACGGCTGCCAAAGAGCATCTGCCACAGCAGCACCCGGAGCCTCAGCCCGGCAGCTTCTTCCACACTGAGCCCCACGTCCAGCACTGCACAGGTTACCCTCAAATCCCCTCTAGGAATATTAAACAAAAAAAAAAAAAAAGAAAACTCATTGATTTTTAATTATGATTTCTTCATATTTCGCCACCCAGTTATTCTTCCTTCTTTTAATCTACTTCTATGCGATTAAAAAGTGGCTAATGTAGGAGCTTGGCATTAAAGATAAAAGCAGGGAAGGATGACTTTTGGTGTTTTTTTCTCTGCTGAAATCAAAAAGCGTTCAAAATAAGGAAAAGATGCAGGTTGATCCGCGGGGTTGTTTTCTTCAGCAGAATTTTTAGCAGGAGGTGTTTTTCTCTGGAAAATGCTGAACACCAGACCAACCCGCCATAAAGCAGAGACATGAGGCATCACAGAAAACTTTGAAGTCAAGAGCAAGAAACCTCAAGCAAATTTGTGGCTGAAAAACCACAAAAATAAGGAAACTCTGCTGGGGCTCCCCACCCCGTGGCATGTGCTGCTTTGGTAGTTGTGACAGCGCTCTGAAATATGCAGAATTTCATCATTTTATCATTCAAATGATAAAATATCAGAGTGGCTTTGAAATGTCTTTGTGAGGAAGAGGTTTGAAGCGTTTGGGGTTTAGGATTCAAAGAGGGAAATACACGATGTGAAATTAAAGGGGTGAGCTGGTGTCAGTAGTCTTCAATATTTCCATGATCAGGAAAAAAATGTAAATTATTTATTATTTTTATTTATTTACTGCCTTCTTTGCTGCCAAGTGAGGTTCAGTTTTATGTCCCTCTTGTGTAGATACTTGTGGTCCTTACAACACCCTAGTACCTCCCCAGCAAGGGGAGTCTCACATGGGGGCACCGAGAAATTTCCCCTAGGGTTGAGCTGGCAGAAGAATACAAAAAATTATATTGCATCTTGTACACTGTAAGTTGTTAGTCCATTTTGTACTACATTTTTCCATGCTGATGTAACACATCCTCTCCCCTTTTCTGTTTAAATTAATTTCCTGCTCGAAGCTGGTTGCTAACTGCAAAAGCCTTGCCACAAAGTGCTCAGCTGCTAAAATTTAGGGTGGGCTGAATTGTTCCTTAACTCTTTCCTGTCAGGAGAAAGTAATTTTAGTGTTTTCTAACCTATTTCAGTGCTTTTAAGCTCTTGTTTTCAGAGCTGAGCCCCTGATATGAGATGCAGCAACACTTGCCTCTCCCTTCCTCACCTCCTGCTCATCTGTCCCCTTTTGTTTCACTTCACTCCCAAATTGGGGCCTCCCCAGAATGGGTTGATACACCTCTTTTTTTTGGGGGGGTGGGGGGTGGAAGACAGGGAGTACTTAATATAAGAAATGCCACTGCAAGTGAATTTTGCCTTCATCTCTGTGGTGAAGTCAGTGAAATGAGCCCAATATCCCTGGCTGTTGCAATGGCTGTGTCCCTCTTTTCTCACTTTCACCTGGAGCATCTTCAGGCTTCCTGGCCAGGACAAGAGTTTGTCCAAGAGGTGGTTTTTGTCACCACTACAACCTTGAACATGGGGATATTACACTGGGGTGATTCCCCAAGACATTATAGCAGCTTCCTTGCAGTACTTTTACCTATGGAAAGATGGTAAAAGATGCTTCCCTGCAGCAATTTTACCTATGGAAAGAAAAAGGAATATGTGCAGTGTAAAAGCATAGAGTGTGTACTGGAACAGGGATTAAGTTTAATTTTTTTTGAAGCTGTTGTTTATGTGCAGTGAAGATGTTCACTGACTGTTCTCAGGATTGGGTATCGCTCTTACAAGAAAACATTTTGAAGGAGGGATGCTTTTGTCTGGCAGCACATCGCCAACAAAAATCAAAGCGCTGTGGGAACGGGCAGGAGACACCTGCTGTTTATAACATTCCCACATTGTTTGGGGCTGCTGTCCTGGGAAGAAAGTAGGGGAGGAAAGAAGGGTGTAAGTTGATCTGATCTGTACACACAAGCAAGATTTGTTGATGACCTTGCTGGGGGTACAGCGGCTCCTAATCACGAGTGTTTGGCTAACGGCTGGGCCAAGGTGGGGGGGAATCACTGAATTTTGGTGCTTTTGCACAATTTCTAGGGGAATTTTATCCTTTTTTTGACATTAAAGACAACCATCCCTGTCCCCAGCCCAGCCAATTCCCTGTGGACCCATCCCAGTGGGAAAGAGCCCCTCTTCCCCAGCCTGCATCCTGCCCACCTCACCAGGCTGACGCTCACTCTTGGTGCTTTCACCAGCTTTGTTACATTTTTTACTCTCTCTTTACTCCCTGTGATGAGTTTCCTGCAGCAAAGTGTTTGTTTTGTGGGGCTGGAGCAAAGCATTGGGGTAGAAAAACAGGGTTTACAGCCAAGAAGCAGGACCTGGCTGGGGTTTCATCTCTGTTAAACTCCCCTGTTACAGCAGAGGTAACTGCAGCTGTAAATTTAAGGCCGGAGAAAACAGCTGCAAGAAAAATAGGGGGAAAATGCATTCTCTGTGTGGTTCTGGGGCTGCAAGGGCTGACTTTTGGGGTCAGGGAAGGTTGCTCAGCCCCAAGTCTGGTCCAACATGGTCCAGCTGGGCAGTATCTAGAAATAAGGGCCTGCTGGGGATAATGAAGCGCAGGACAGAAACTCCCCGGGATCCAAGCAGCCACATGTGAACATTTTTTTCCATTTTTAATTTTTTGAAGTGGTTTTATTCCAGGGAAGGGTGCAGCTCCTGGAGTATTTCACTAGGGGTAAAAGCAGTGATCAAAATGATAGCATTTTCACTGAGTCAGATCACAGAATTACAGAATCACAGAATATGTGGAGTTGGAAGGGACCTACAAGGATCACCGAGTCCAACTCCTGGCCCTGCACAGGACCCTCCCCAACCTTTTTCTTAGTGTAATAGCAGGAAAAAAAAAATTCAAAACAAGTGGGTCAAATTTTCTAAACTGCTCCAAGCTAAGATGTGGTTTGTAGGATGAGGCTGGGGGGCCTTTGCAGGTGCAGATTTACAGCTGTAATTCAGCTGATGCAATATCACAGCTGAGGCTCCTGACATGTCATGGGGTTACCCTTAAGGTACATGTCAGTGTATGATGAGCTGGGATGTAGTATGGAAAAATGCTGCTTTTAAAGACCAGATGCCAAAATGGATCTAAATGATGAACTGTGTAAATTTTCCTGCCATTTCACTCCCCCTGGCAAACAGTTCTGTGCTTGGGGGGTGGTTTGTAGGGACTTGTGTGTGTTAGAGGTGTCAGGTGTGAGCTCCATGTGTGATCTCCCCCCCAAATCCCAGATGCTAATGGGGTGTGCAGCAAATGATGGGACCATGGGGGGATTTGGGAGAATGGACGCTGAGAGTACAGGCTCCAGTTCTCCCTCTTCAGGACACTTGGTGCAAGCAGAAGTTAGCATGGGCGAGTGGTGACTAATCCTGGACCCCCCCAAATAGATAAGGGGCAGAGCAGGTGCTGCTGTTTGATTTCAGCTTCCTAATCAGTGTTGAAGAGGATAAGGAAAGACAAGGGAAGTGTCCTTGGGAAGGCAGCACGTGGAGGAGGAAAAGCCACCGAGGAACTAAACATAGGTGTTATCACCCCAAAACAACGACCTGCCATGGCTATAAAAATCACCGGGCTGAGACGTCGTGACCACCTTTACCTTAAAGGTGCCAAATCTGCTGGAACTCTGCAGCGACCGTCTTCAGCTTCCCGGGACTGCCAGGACATTCAGCCAAGGATTGGTGAGATCTTACTACTGGGGTCTTACTCTGTCTCTGCTTTGCTTCTCCCGCTCCCGCATCCCTTCCCCGTCCCCTTCCCGGGAGCTGCTGGGTCGCGGCAGCTGCCGGCTCGGCCGCAGCCACCCTTTCCCACCTTCCCCACCTTCCCCTTCCCTCTCTCCCGGGTTCGGCGTCTCCCCGGGGGGCTTTTCGGAGGGGCGGGTCGCGGGGTCGCAGCCTTGCTCCGAGGGTGGGCCGGCGGTGCTGGTGTTATGGTAGCTTTGCCCTGAGACAGAGCCGTCTCAGATCTCGTGCCCTTCAACCATGATGACCGACATCGTTAGCACCTGGAAGCTGGAGCAGTTTGTTCTCCAGAAGTGTCTCCCTGCAATTTGGTCCGCGGGGTCCTTCCAGGGCCCGGAGGCATACCAGCAGCTCTGCCAGCAGTGGGAGAGCTGGTCGGAGGAGAACAAAAAGCCCAAACCCACAAACAAGTGCAAGAAGCGAGCAGCTTTGCAGGGTTTGTTGATGGTGGGCAGGGAGTTGTCTAGATTGCTGAAGGAGGCTCTTGAGAATGTGCAGACCTTGGAGCAGGACAAGGCTGAGCTCAAAATTCAGGTGGACAATCTGCGGGCAGAGGTGCAGGGTTTGTGTGGGGATTCTCTGCGGAGTGCTGTAGAGATCACCCGGCTGGAAAACAAGCTGGGGTATGAGAAGCTGAAAACAGAGGAGCTGAAGAAGGAGGTTGGCAGGTGGATCGGGGAGACCCACGATGCGCAGAGCGCGGTGCGGGCGGTCCTGCAGGACGTCCATCGGGACCGGGGCACTGGCCCTGATCACAAGGTATGCCATGCCAAGATACAGGAGCTGGAAGCAGAGCTGGGGGTGTCGAGGGGCATTGTGGCTGCCATCAAGGGCAAGAGGAGCCAGGGCGGGAATGGGGAGGGGGAGGACTCCCTGGACACGCACCCACCCCACTATGATTATGAGGATGATGTGTGGGGTGCCAACAGCCCCACCAGGCCATCCCCTTATGCTCCTCTGCGGGAGGAGGTGTGCCAGCTGCAAGCAGGAGAGGCAGAGGCTTCCAAAGACAAAAAGACCCCTCACGATGAGCCAGTCAGTCACATCCCACTCCAGCCCATAGACACCAATAGGGCTGTGCCCTGGTTTACCCCTGAGCAGCTCAAGACAGTGGGGAAGATGCTGGGGCCACTGTCAAAGGAGACAGCCATCAACTGGCTGTCCAGGGTCCAGCGCCTGCCCAAGTGCCAGAGTGGCAGCTTCGTGAGTGACCTGATAGATGTTGTGAGAAAGTGCATGAAACCAGATGATTTCGCGGCACTGCCGGGGGATGTGCAGATGGGCAATGTCCAGGATATCAGAGACGTCCAGCTGGCCGTGCTGAAGGTGTTCTTCCCAGAGGTCAACCCCTTAGTACTCTTCCACCAGGAGAAGCAGAACCCCGAGGAGCGGCCGGATGCCTATGTTAACCGTAAGAAGATGCTCTACCAGATGGCTGGGCTGCCTGGATCAAAGGACTCCCCCCTCGATTTTGACAGACCTGAATTCAAGGAGCCACTGGTAGTGGGGCTGACACCCCCACTGAGGGTGATCGCTGGTGGGGATGCGGCCAAAAAGCCGCTGTCGGAGCTGGAGCAGATCCTGACCCAGAATTTTGAGCTTCAAAAGCAGGCATTCCCGGGGTACATGGTGGGGGGGGAAGAAAGGGAAAACCTCGGCCATGCCTTTCCAAAATGCAGGGATGAGAAAAATGCAGGGAGACAACCGAAAAGATCTTGATGGCAAAGGGGGCTTGGGGAAGGAGAACCAGCAAGGGATGAGGTTTCAGAAGTCCAACCCTTGGCGGGCTGAGCTGAGGAAGCGCTTAATAAAATACGAGAAACAGGAGGACATTGATGGCTTGCCGGATACGGAGCTCTTCCAAAAACTGGCCCTGCATGAGGCCAAAAAGCACAGCAGCTCCCACCTGATTGACCCGGGGTCTAAGGCTCAGCAATAGGGCTGCCAGGCACCTGCGTCGCCCCTTTTTGTGGCACCGATTAAGACCGATTTGTGGGGGCGTCCGATAGTTGATACAACTATTGGAGGAGGGGTGCTTGGACAAGTGATGTTAATTGATACTGGTGCCTCTTATTCAATTCTGAATATGGCTCCCGGCAATGCCGGGATCTTCCAAACCTCTGAAATTATTGAACTGACAGGGCCGGACGGCCAGAAATCCCCAGTGCCCTTCACAGGGCCTGTACCCTTTGAAATTGGGACTGCCAAAGGGTCTGAAAAATTTGGGAAAATGGAAATAAAAGGAAAGGTGGGAATTTTAGCCATCTCTGCACTGACAAAGATGGGCGTGGTGGTGGACTTGGCAAACCAAGCACTGCTACACTGCCCACAAATTGATGTGCCTGTCATCCTGGCAAGCCATAGGGTGATGTCAGTGAAAGCCCCTGAGCTCCTGGTCCACCCTGAGTGGGAGCCCCGAGTGAAACGGGTCACGGAGCAGTTCCCCCAGGTCTGGGCAAGGAGCAAGCTGGACTGTGGGCAGATTGATGCTGCCGTGGTAGTCAAAGGACCAGATCCCCCTCCTCAGCCTCAGCCCTGGTACCCAGCTGAGGCTGAGGACAGCTTGTGGGACACAGTCAAAACCTTGCTGGACCAGGGTGTGCTGGTGGAGCAGCAGAGCACCTGCAACGCCCCAGTGTGGCCCCTGAAGAAAGCTGATGGGAAAACGTGGAAGCTGACAGTTGATTTCAGTGCCCTGAACCGTGTCACCCCACTGCAGACCTCCACAGTGGCCAGGTACCCTGCCATCATGGCAGCCATCTCCCAGGGATCCAAGTGGTTCTCGGTGCTCAACCTGACCAGCCCATCGTTTGCCATCCCCTTGCACTCTGAGTCCTGGCACAAATTTGCCTTCACCCTTCAAGGACGGCAATTTGCATTCACCAGAGTCCCTCCGGGTTTCCACAATGCCCCTGCCATCTGCCATGCACATGTGGTGAAGATGTGGGAGCAGCTCAGCCACCAGGAGAGCGTGCTGTCCTGTGCTGGTGATGTCCTCATCCACACCCAGACCAAGGAGAAGAACCTGGAGGTGCTGGCAGAGGTGCTGAAGGCTGTCCAGAAGACAGGCTTCAGGATCAACCCCACAAAGGCCCAGCTGTGCTGGAAGGAGGTCTCCTTCATGGGGGTGACCCTTGGGGAGGAAGGGCGCTCACTGGAAAAGCAGAGGGTTGAGCTAATACAGAAGATGTTGGCACCATCCGATGCCACCACCCTCAGGTCCTTCCTGTCTCTCCTGAGGTTATGCCGTGAGTTCATCAAAGGCTACGCAGAAAAAGCAGCCCCCCTCTGCCACCTCCTGAAAAAGAACACCCCCTGGGAATGGGGGCCAGAGCAGGACCAGGCAGTAAAGACCTTAAAGGAGTGTGTGGCACAAGCCCCCATGCTGGCACATCCTCAGGGGGACAGCCCCTATGTTCTGCAGCTGGCCTGCACGGGCAGGGGGCTTCAGGCCTCCCTGGGCCAGCAACACAGTGCTGACATGCTCCCTGTTGCCCACGCCTCGCGCCTCCTGACACCAGTCGAGCAACAGTTCACTGACTACGAGAGGGAGGTTTTAGCTCTGACCTGGGCCCTGCAGCACTGGGAATACGTGGTGGGGTCAGCCCCAGTGCTGCTGAGGACCTCCCTCACCCCTGTGACATACCTCTTGTTGGGGAAGAGGGATGAGGGTCCCCTGCAGTACCCCAGGATGGCCATGGCCAACTGGACATTGTCATTGACCAACAAGGAGATCCCTGGGGACCCCTCGCCCGGTGCCTACAGGGTAGTAATCAGTGGAGAGAGGGATGGGCAGGAGCCGGTGGGCCCGCCCAAGCCACGGCGGGCACCCCTGTTTGAGAGCAACCTCCGCCTGGAGGAGGCCAAGGAGAGAGGCTACGTTGTGTGGTTCGTAGATGGGTCCAACTACCATGAGGAAGGGGTGCCCTACACGGGCTATGCTGCTGTCAACTGGGGCACGGGGGAGGTGGTGAAGGGGAAGTGCCTGCCGCACTCCATCCAGGCTGCCGAGCTGGTGGCCGTGATGGCCGCCCTGGAGAACACGCCGGCAGACCAGCCACTGGCCATATTCTCAGACTCGGGCTGGGTGGTGCGTGTGGTGCTGGAATGGCTGCCGCTCTGGAAGGAGAGGGACATGCAGTCTGCCGATGGCAAGCCTGTCACCTATGCCAAAAAGCTGCTGTACCTTGCGAGGCTGGCGGAGCAGAGGGCCTGCCCAGCCCAGATCATTAAGGTCAAGGCCCACAAGAAGGGAACAGAGGAAGCCAAGTGGAACAAGGAGGCAGATGCCAAAGCCAAGCAAGGTGCAAAGGAAGGGCTGATGTGGAAGGCCAGCAAGATTGCAGAGAATGGCCCTCTGTCCGTGGTGCCCAGCAGGCACTGGGAGAGTGTGGATCTAGTGGGCTTGCAGGCACAAGACCCCAGGCTCCGGGAGTTAGCACAGGGCAGGGAATACAAAGGCTGCAAGGTGTGGAAGGATGTCTCAGGACTGGTCCTGGCACGGAGGGAGGGGGCGGACTACCCAGTCTGGGTGGTGCCTGAACTTGTCCGGACGGAGCTGGTGGCCCTGGCTCATGAGCAGGGGCATTGGGGTACAGACAAGACCATGGTGAGGCTGCAGGGTGTTGGGTGGTGGCCTGAAATGAGAGAGGACGTGGAGAGGTATGTCAGCAACTGCCTGACATGTGCAGCCAACAATCCTGATGCCAAAATGGCCAAAGCCCTCCTGGGCCCCCAGAGGATTTCTGGGCCATGGAGCAAGTTGCAGATGGAGTTTATTGGCCCTCTGCCCCAAACAGCCCATGGCAACAAGTATTGCCTGGTGATCAGTGATAACTTTACCAACTGGGTGGAAGCATTTCCAGCTCAAAACAACACAGCCAGTGCAACTGCAAAGATCCTGGTAGAGCATATTTTCTCATGGTGGGGCATCCCAAAGGAGATCGACTCAGACCATGGCCAGCGCTTCGTCGGAGAAGTCACAAAAGGGGTGTGCCAGGCCCTGGGAATCAAGCAAAAGCTTCACATCACAGGGCATTTCCAGAAGCCCACCTCAGCAGAGGGGCCCAATCAACCACTGAAGACAGCACTGAGGAAGCTCGTGAACCAGCAAAGAAAAGACTGGGATCAGAAGCTCCCACTGATTCTGCTGGCATTACGGGGGGCCATGGCATCTCAAGCACTTTCTTCCCAAAAATTGCCTCCTGCAAGAGACCCGAAGCTTCTGGAACACTGGTGGCAAGGAGGGGAGCCCCCGGCTGAACTGCAGCCCCGTGTGCTGATGGACAGGTGGGTCCAGGACATGCTGAGGACAGTGTCAGTCACGTACCACCAGCTCACCTCAGTGCAGGAGACCAAAATCCCCAAGATGGATAAGCAGCTGGGAGTGCTGCTGCGCCCCACGGAGTGGAACACAGGGGACCTGGTAATGTATCGAGGGGTTAGAGAGAAGAACCAGGTGCTGGAACCCCAATGGATGGGGCCCGTTAGGGTTGTGAACAAGGCCAGCCCCTCTGTGTACCAGGTAGAAATCAGAAAGGGGACAAAAAGGCAGGGGAAATGGCTCCATTCTTCACAATTAAAAGCATGGAAGGGAAACTAACGGGGCTGGAGAGCCCTCCTTGCTTATGTTTTGCAGATAAAGGAAAATGGAAGGCGATTGTGACCGGCGGGAAGGGCGAACTTCGTGGCATCACCAGCCCTGTTTTTGCTGCGGGGAAAATGCTTTCAAATTTGTGATTGCAGGATTTACTTTGCTTTCTGGTATGTGCATAGCGCTGAGCACCCAATGTGCCCAACCAACCCATCAGCACCTTGAACAAACAGTCATTCGTTCCCACTTGGAAAGGCACCATGACAGACAGGCCACAGCCCAGCACAGGGTTAGGAGGTACACAAAAGCTGAGACCAATTGGCCCTGGTCTCAAGCTTACATAAAATATACAGGAAGCATGGGGTTAAATTCTGACATGGGCTTAAATTTGTCAACGGTGGTTATGCATGGGACAGAGGTGTACTTGGAAAATGAGTGGAGCTGGGATAGCACAAACAGACTTCCACAGCTGCTGGGGAGGGTGGGACAGCAAATAAAGGTGGGGTGCAGGCTAATTAATGCATCCACTCACCAAGCAGTAACTCAAATCTCTGTAACTGAAATAAAAACTAATAAGAATCAGAAAAAAAACTGTGCTGTGGAAAAATTGGACTGCTGGCACAACTTTACTTTGGTCCAGCCAGTCTTTGTGGTCTGCCTCTGGGCAGATCACAGCGTGGGGCTGTCCTTTAAATTCGAGATCAGCACCACGACACCATCCTTTGCTGCCGTTAAGATCTCAAAGTGCCATTTTTTGGCCTGGCATGCATCCCCATATGTTGAAATTGGCAACCAGGTAAAATTGGAAATTAAATACTCCCAAGAAAGTGTAACTGATCCGATGCAAATTGATGGCACCACTGTGACACTAACTGCCCCGAACGGCCGCAAGTGGGTCGTTCCAGTGAGCTGCCTCCGTGAGAACAAAACACTTACTAGATCTGAATTAGGCATGGAGGCTTCATGGTATAATCAGGATTATGGACGCTGTCCACACCTGCTCATAACCCTCCAGGTATGGTGTCAAGGAAACCTGAATGTAGAAATGTCCCATGAGCTTGGAGGAAAGTGGTGGATAGGAGGCCCTGAAGGATTTAAAAAAGAGTTTTCCATCACTGCTGTCTTGCGCCCTTTTGTTTCCAAAATAGGTCCTTATGTAGTGAAGAAAAATCACATCCAAGAGCTGTTGACTGGCCCTGTCCGGTCACTGAAGAAGGTGGTGTTGTCTCTGTCCACTGTTAATATTTCCTCCGTCAGACCACACTGTGCCCCCTTCCTATCCACCCTCCACACGGGCTGGCTGGCGTGGCTGCACAGCCGCTCCCTCCAGGGCACCCGGGACAGGAGGGACCTGCTGGCTACAGTGCTGGGAGGAGGAG